GCGGACAAACCACCTAGTTAGCTTCAGAAAAAAGTCGATCCTTTTGAGATTCGATCCCAGATCTGAGCCGAAAGTGATGTCCGAAATTCCCGACTCACAAACGCCACACCAACCTGACTATATGTTTTGTATATAAGTACCATTTACGACGCGATCTAATATTTTATGAATATACGTAAAAAATCAATAAAGCTCAATGCTATACATTATTACGCCCTTTTTTTATAGAAAATATAAGCCACAAGTAAAGTGTTATTTTTAATCTTTTTCTAATAAAGTAATTTATAGGAAGAAATATAAATTTTTATTGAATAATTAGAACTTATATATAAAAAATTTGCATTTTTGTCAGGAGGCTGTTCAAACCTAATAAAAAACCTTTTAATTATTCCTATAGATTTTTTATGATAGATTCACTTGTAATTTATTAGATCGTTATTATGCGAATAACAAACATTTTAAACGCCGACTCTGATTGTTAGTGGGCTACAACAGAAAAAGTTTTAATAAATAAAATATAGATTCAATTTGTATAATTTTAAAAAGTATATATACAGGGTAAGTATAAGCCTGAAAAATTTTCGAGAATTTTAATGGCGATAACTTCACATGAGAATTTATGGGAATTGAGGGAAATGTATGGGAATTAATAATACTTCTTAAATTGTAATAATATATATCAATTGTTTAGTTAAATACATTATCAAAACTCAATTTCATCTCACTCCAGCCCAAATGAGTTTATTTAAAAACCATCCTTGGCTCGATATTGCCTAAGTTTCGAATAATCAAACCATCTAAATTTAAAAAATCAGTAATAGAAAAAGACTATTATTGAGATCCCATGTGAATGAATGAATGCATCCAAGCTATTCATAATTATTCAAGAAAAACTAGGCTTTAACCTTTTTAGTGTAATTAAATCATACTTAGGTATAAGTAATCTATTTTGGGAAAAGTTGTATTGTCAAAGAAAATATATTTGTTATTAGAGTTAGGAAACAAAAAATTTGAATGAATGTAAGAAACTATTCATGATTATTTATAAAAGGGATTTTAATTTTTTTCAAAAATTAGGATTATTTTCTTTCAATAAATTTCCAGTAAATATTCCCATAGATTCCCAAAAATTCCGGGAATAAACCCGAGTTAACCCTAGGTGGGTATAACTGATTTTAATAATTTATTACAGTAAAAAAAAATATTTTGAGCCATAGAGAAACTTACATTTTATTTTAAAAAAAATTTTTATGGATCGGGCTCGTTATAAATTTAAATAAAGAAAGAAAAAAAATAAGAAATACAAATTCCTAATGGTATAAAAATATTTTAGAATCTTCTAAAGGTGTAAAAACATTAACGAACTATATACCCAGTGGTGTAAGCAGAAATCTTTAAAAAAGGAGAAGGGGTATAGAGGTGGCCAATTTTTTTGACTAATATATGAATTATACAATATGAATGAAGTAATATTCAGCTATAAATTTGTAATGATAGTATGTCCTATTCATTCATATTGAAAGACCTGATTCATCTAACGCTGCCTAAATGCTTATAACGTTATAAGTAGGGTGTTAATGTAACTGTTTACCTTTTCTCAGTACCGTGCCGAGACTTTTGACTGCCCGGATCAAAAACCTTGAGGGCCCTTTAAAAAACCATATTTAAAATAATTTCGTATTCTGAGAAAAGCTGCATGTAATATGGTAAATTTTAATCATAAATATGAGTAACGCATATTAAAAAAATAATATTAATCACAGCTTATCAAATAATCATTAAAAACAAAAAAATAACTCAATTTAGATGAGGGCAATTTAAAATACCCACCCATAAAGCTTATGTATTAAATAAATATAATGTAAATATTTTTTTATCCTCAAGGAAAACTAACAGTAGCGCCACTAGGAGGAAGGAGTAGGGGCTCTAACCCCCTGAAAAATTTTAAGACCCCCCTCAAAATTTTGAATATTTCTTTTTATACCACTATAAAAAGGTAATTTTGAAAATAATTGTAAAAAATTTTTTTGAACCCTTTAATCCTAATATCCAAAGAGTGACTCCTAGACTATTTCATTAACCAGTCTTGTAAAAATTAATAAAATATAGTCCATCTAATTGATATAAATCTATTATATTTTTTCCTATCATTTATCTTGTAAAAAAAATATTTTTAAGGTAAAAAGATAATTTCAATAACTAAAAATAGATTAATTTTTTTGTTTTAATAAGATATGGCTTGATATGTCAAACCTTATTATTTTTTAAAAAATTATAAAATAATTATATTTATTTTTTTAAGATTTTGGCATATAAGAAACTATTTTTTCATTATTGGCTTTACATATGTTTCGTTTAGATTATGATTTCTGCTAAATACAACCATTTTTTCCATTGACCATTTTAATAGTAAAATATAATAAATTTGCATTTTTTTTTATGAAATTAAACAAGAAACAAAATTTGAATGCCCATAAAATAGTCAAATAACGGTTGCCATGGACTGTTGCCCTGCTCGCCTATGCCGTCGGAATGGACCAACCTTTTCTTGAAGAACTTAAATATAACTAGTTTGAGAATTTTTTTTGAAAATCATTATATAATAGCTATTTAGAAAGTTAAAAATTGGAATATTTTAAAATATTAATGTTGCAAATTGCATAAAAAATGTGGTATTTTAGATATATATAAATAATTATAATACAATGCATGAATCAGAAGAGATCTCACAAAAGTGGGGAAAAAATACAATACTCGCCATGGCAAATTTTTTTCAATATTTTCAAAAATATTAACAGCCCGTTTCCTCGATTGGTTATCGTTGCCACATTCAGCAGAACTACGAAATTATGTTAATACTATTTTAAAACTTTTTCAAATCTTGGGGGCATTTATTACTAATTTCATTATCACCATCAATATATTACCTCATCACATTTATTGCGATCCACATACATTGAACTTCAATCGCTATTACGTAATTATTATAAATTTTATTGAAAGTCTTTAAGTTCGCTAGGCCTTTGGCTTTATTAAGGTTTTTAAAATAATTTTAATTTTTCATTGTTAGAATTATTGGAATTAGCACGTTAACCTATTTTGCACATTGTCTAGTCAGTAATGAAATGATTTTGTTTGATACCAGAGTGCCTTCTGTTTTCCTTCAATATTACTAATCCAAATTTATTTATTTTTCTAGCTTGAGCTATTTTAATAAGTGCCTCTTTAAAAATATTAAATATACATTCATTTAGAAATTATAAGAAGATTAAGAACCTACCAAGCATAGTAACGATTTTACATTCGCTTTATTGATTTTTAAGCTTTAGGTAAACTAATTGTTCTTTTCTGAAGCCTTAAGATTAGATAATTCAAATAGAACATCATACAGCAAGGCGAGATCTGTTAAGAATTTACCATCGAATGGCCTTTATTGTACGAAGATTGGTAAATGTCCATCACATCAAGTTCCCTTCTAATCTTCAGCAACTAATTGCCCAGTTCAGACGTTATTTAATCCGACGCTCTTTGATTTTTTGTTAAATTGGCTATATAAACTATATATTATATCAATAAAGGCTTTAAAGTGATAAATGCTTGTAACACATTATTGCATTGGACACCGTTAATTCTAAACAGCGATTTCAATATAAATTTCTGACGGAGCACGCTAAATTCTTTTTAAATATTTGAAGAAATTTTGATATATATATAGGGTAGTTATTTTTTTCTACATAGTTGGATAGACACTTTATGTTTTTAGAATATGCTAAAAACCCGAATTTATGAAGTATATCCCCTGCGAAATTCGTGCGACATATACAAACACAATAAATAATATTAGTTTTTTCTTAAATCTACCTTTGTTTAATGTATATTAAATATTAACAACATCTTTTGAAAAAAAAATAGGACAACTATGATGTTACTAATAGAATTGCGTAACTATAGCTAGTTTCATTTAAAATAAAGTAATCCTATATTAAGTTTTGGGCATTGGGTATTGTAATCTTTGAATGTAACTAGTTACTTAAAAAGTAACTTTAACAACATCAATAAATTAAAAGTGAGAATTCAATCTTTTATCTTTTAACATTGAAAGCTTTTTAAAACGCAGCGTTAAGAAGTGGACAAAAATTAGAGGATTTAAGGAATTTTTAAAAATAAATTTTTCTGTATATGTCCGTCATATTTTAATATAATAGGTATAAATAGAGCAATGGCTTGAATTTTTTAAAAATAAATTTTTCTGTTGTATGTCCATCAGTATCATATATTTTAATACGATAGGCATAAGTAGAGCAAACTATTATTGCCTCTATGCCCAGATAAATTTTACAAAATTTTACTAAACATTCCTATTAGATGAGAGGGGTATAAATTTATGCTGAGGGGTCAGCCCCCCTCCTGTCAAGGATGAACGCAAAAAGGAATGGTTATTTGTAAATTAATATTTTTTTTGTTATAAATTATTATTATTATTTTTTTATATAAATTATTGTTATTTTTGTGTAAATTATTATTATTTTTTTTGATGAATAACGATGATGTGGTGAAAAATAAATATATAATTGACGAAAAAAAAATTAATTAATTTTTCTTTGTATACTTGTTGTTTTGAAAAGAAAAAAAATAAAGAAAAAACAAAAAAGACTACCGCGTTAAACTTGAAGTAAGTAAAAACAAAAAAAAAGAAACAAAACATAAATATATATTAAAAAGAGTGTTGATTAGAAAAATAATAAAATATAAGGTTGTTTTAACACCTCCAACCAGAGTTTTCTCTGAACTTTCAATAAAGATTATTTGATAAAATTATCCTAAATTAAAGCAATTAAAATGATTCGTAGTCTTTCTTAATTCAAACAATGATATTATCTCGTGCTTTGTAAGCCTTAAAATGGTTCACGCTGTAATGCAATCTTAAAGTTTAAATAATCAAACAAACAAAAATTATAAAAAAAAATTATTTTCTTTAAATAAAAAAATTAAAATTTTACCTGATGAACGATGAATTTTTGGTAAAGATTGGGTGCGCGTCGTTTTGATAATCTTAACATTAGATGGGATATTAAATCCTTTTCTTATCGCAAGACTAGAATCTAAATGTCCTAATTATTCTAAATTTAAAAAAAATATTATACCCAAGGTGCGCTTTGATTGTAATAAGGAATTGCTTTCATTTTCTTCATCTGGCTTATAATATTTGTTCAAAAATAAATCTTCGCCAATCAAAAATTGTCTACTGTTAGCTTTATTTCTGGGAGGCTAAAAATAAAATAATATCAACCTACATATTATAATACTATAATTGATTAGAAAAGAAATTATATACCTTTTTATTTTTGAACTTAAAAATATGATGCAAATCAGCTTGGTTTATAATCTCGCTCGGAAAAATATCCATCATTCCTCTCATTTCTTTAGGACTTAAACTACTAGGGCGGTTTTCTGAAAAAGAATGCCTTTGTGGGTCGTAAAAATTGTCAATTTTGGTAAATAGGCGACACAATTTACAATGATTACCACCAAACTCCATCACGTGCTTCGATAAAGAATCGATATTTAAATTATGGCAGATTTCAATTAATTTTTTATCTTTTGTTATAGGGGTGCCTCTTATTAGTATCGGTTTAATTTGATTAGTGTCAAAGTTTCGCATTCTGTTCATTGAAAAAAAAATATTTACTAAATGTTGAAAAAATGAAAGAAAGATAAAAAAATTATATAACGTAACTTCTCTTTAAACAAAAAGAATTCTTGTGGACTGACAATACTTTCCATTCCATTTACCAAATGTTTTAAAAACTGGAGTTAAAATCATTTTTGAAATAAATATAAAAATATGATCAAAATTAAATAAATTCACCCTTCCAAAAACTATCGCTGAAAGTAATTTTGAATTATCTTCTGATTTTTTGATCCGCAAATAATCGACAAGAGGCTTTATGGTCATACCCTTTATTTATTTTTTAAAAATATCTCCTACAATTTATTATTAAAAAAAATGGAAGGAAAAGTTTTAATCAAAGAGGAAAATTAATCAACAATATATACCGTAAAACAATCATCTTATATATGTACTTGAAAAAATGTGGTAAATAATACAATGATTATTGTTGTTGTCAAGAACATTCTTTTTAAATCTTCGGTTAAATGCTCATTTTTTATCAATGACAGAGCTAAAGAAAATGAAATGGCTCCTCGCAATCCAGAGTAACTCAAAATAAATTGTTCCAAATTATCTAATTTTATTAATCTTCTTTGATTTGCTATCCATACCAAAACTATGATTCCTTTAAAAAATATATATTATAAATTCCATATCAAATTATAACCAGAAGCCCTGAAGATGAAGCAAAATAATAAAGAGAAAAATATGAAATAAGAATTCCACAGATGATAGTCTCCAAATATTGAAATTCCCATCCATAAGAAGATCATGGATTCGCATACACTGCTTAGCATTGCCAACAAATTAGCCACGCAATTATTCGAATGCATGCTAAGATTGTGTGAAGCATAATGTTGATTTACGATTGCGCAAGAAATTATGCTTTAATTATTTTAAAAATATATATTATAAATTATTGCATGGATTATAAAATTATATATATCAGGGACCTCTAACACGGAGGGAATACGAATTAATGATTTTATTAAAATCGCAGGGAGTTCCTGTTAGTTAATATACATAGATAGTATCCATTTCTATATTTGAATTATTTTAGGATGGGGATTCTCAGCGTTATTGGTTTGGAGAAGGGATCTAGAGGGCTCCGATATATTATATAGCCTTTATTAAAATTGATATAATATATTAAGTTAAACTTACGCCATAATTCCTGAAATTTGGAATAAGTCGGAAATTAAATACGATAAGTATGCCATTGCAAGCATGAAAAGTGGTTCAATGTTTGGTGTTTTATTTGTATATCTTTTAAGGCTATAATTAAGAAAGAAAGTTAAAATTTTACTTGGTTACATAACTTGCAATAATTCCTACCATTAATCCCACTGCTATTCCCCCCATCGCTACAAAGGCAAAAGAAGATACCCCCGTTAGCAAGTCATTATAATCTAATGTAACGTGCGATGAAGTTTTGAAAGACAGAAATAAGTTATATAGTACCTATAAAATAGACTTATACTATATATAATATGTGTTATAGAATCTTAATAATTTACCACACAAATACCATCGTTAAGTAGAGATTCACCAAACATGATAATGTATAATATTTCATTGACGTGAATCTCTTCAAATATTGCCAAAACGGATACCGGATCTACTGCCGATATCAAACTACCAAACAAAAGGCAATCCACAATAGTAATTTCTATACTAAATACGCCTTAAAAAAATATTTTTTAAAAAATATTCTAGTAGTATACCTAATTTAACTAATCCGTACAATGAAAGTCCTATCCCCAATGTATTCCACAAAGTACCTATAACTGCAAGATTTAATATAGTCCATATGTTATCAAAAAATTTATGGCCATATAAATAATATCCAGCATTTAAAGCAATCGGCGGAAGTAAAACAAAGAAGAAAATATATGTAAACCATAGATAATCATCCTTAGTCGCGATTTTCGTGAAAAAAAACACCGACCCATATATAATACCTGTAATGATTAAAACACAGGATTCTGGCATCCACGAAGGGAATTTTTTGGATATATGAAAACCTTGTATTTTTTTAACGAATAATGAAATTTCCTATATAGGATATTTCAGGAATATATATACTTATTCTTGATATGTTGGCTATTAAAATCCAAATTGTAATTATAAAGGGTGTTCGCACCAACGAAATTTTCTCTTCTGATGCATAAGCTTCCATAAATATGTTACCCATTGGTAATGTCTATATAATATAATTGTATTATCAATAATTCAAAAGTAAAATTTTTTGGAATTCTCTATTTTTTAAACATTAAAATTTCCGTCAAAATAGCGTAATAATTATATGTAAGAGAACTGAGCTTTTACAAAACTTTACCTGAAATACTCTGAAACATTTTGTTTCCCTTCCATTCTCACAATATAAATTTACTTAAAGGACGTCCCGTCCCGGGGTTATTTATCAGGCAATTTCTTAGACCTTAAAAGAGTTTACTAAATTTTTACTAAAAGACCTATATAAATTATTCGAGAGAATATTTTTATTTAAATTTAATAATAATATATAGACTTTATTATCAAAACACGCAAAATATTTGCACGTTGCATTGCAACTATAAAAAAAATATTTGATGATAGGATCGTGCTATATACAGCCAATAATGGTACATAGCCATACTAAAATAATTGGAAAATATTTTGGATAGGGACTGATAAGGGCTAGTGGGGATAGTATATATATGATGGAGGCCTGATGCAATTTTAAAATTCGTTTATTATAATAATTATTTTCTCATACGTTTAATTTTACCAAGACATAATATTAGTATGAGTTAGAGTTTAAGGCTATATTTGAAATCATGGGCGCACATATATCGCTTAAAATAATTTTGTCGCAGACTCAGAGACCAGTTACAGAAGCAGTCTTTAAAATAGCTTGCAAATTTAAAAAAATGTAAATTATTTCATTCATAAATATAATGCAAAAATTTACAAATATATTTTCAAAAAAGATGCAAACTATATCAAGTTCTAATATTAAGATTCACCAAAAAATATATAATACAATTTTTTTTTTATAATGTAGAGTCTTTTTTATTATAAAATTAATTTTCCCCTATAATATAAACTTTGGCAAATTTACGGCTGCTATTACTATTTGAATCTTCTTCTTCTTTAATATAAGTATTTATATTTTTATATTCTCTAATATCTAACATTTCATGTAGAATAAATTTAATGATATTATTTTTATAGCTTATCTAATTTTGTCAGTAAGGAGCATAGAATTTCCAGGAATATGATCAATAATGGTTAAATCTAATTTATTTTATTCATGAACAAATATTTGAGTAATTTTTAGCATTACTATCGATCGAGTCCTCCACATCAAACATATGGATATATTTCTCTTTTATAGAATAAAAAATTTAGACAAATAATTAGTGGGAACACAAGTTGCAATAAATAATTTTTTTTAATTCGGATTTTTTAAAAATATATATTCATGTTGTTGCGTTATTCCTTTATCTTATTTTTTGTTTTTTGCATTTGAACTTTTATTATTTTTGTTATAATCTAATTTTATTTTATAAACGGCGTAACCTTACTTTTTTATATATTATTTTACTTTTTTGTATTTCGTTTTATATTCTAATTTATATGTTAGAAAATGTATAAATACCTTAACAAAAGAAAAAGAAATTAGTTAATAAAATATATTTTTACTGACTCGAACCTCGCGCAACATCGTCTCCATCCTTATTCTTTGCATGGTGCCCTTTGGGTGGTGGACTAGAAAAAGATGACTACCTAATCTGCTGAGATGACCATCTAATCTATGACGATTGCTTAATCCATTGAGATGACTCTATTTATATGACTACCTATTGTGTTGATTGCTTAACCTATGGAGATGACTACCTATTATGACTCTACCTTGTGCTTAACCTATGGAGATGACTACCTATTATGACTACCTTATCTATTGTGATGTTATGACTACCTTATCTATTGTGACTACCTAAACTACTGAGATGACCAAGAATCAAACCTTAGTACGTTCTTTCATGCAAAAAGCTTCTTTCTTTATGGTGTCCCGGCTCTGGATGTTAGACTGGAATATAATAGCCAGCACCTAACCTAATGTGACAACTTAGGAAGAACTGATATGGAAGTTGAACGATAGGTTATGAATTCTATTTTGTGAGACCAATGATGGTTACTTATTATTCTAATCCACGTAATAAATATTATAAATTAAAATTTTATGCCAGGATAAAGGCATGTTATAAATTTTTAAAATTACTAAAATGTAAAATCATAATGGATAATATTGATATTTTTTGATTTCTTGAATGATGACCAATTGTTGTAAATTAACATAAACCTAAAGATGAATTCTTAAATATAATTAAAAATATTAAAAATCCTAAACAAGAAGATAAAACTTAATTTTAAATATGTTAAAATGTAATTTTTAAATCACATGATTGATTCAAATAACCCTTATAAGTAATACTTAATATGATAAAAAGTTTTTGAAATTAAAAGCTTTGAAAAAAGTTATGTAAAAAAACATTCATTTTAGAAAAATATATTTAAATTATGTGGTGAATTTTCAAAACATCTTATGAAGAATTTTTTTTTTTTGAATTAAAATTAGGGTGTGAAATTTAAAATTTTATTTAAAGAGAGGGAAATGTGAATAATATATTATTTGCATATTTTAACCTGGGACATAGAAAATAAACAAAAATTAATTAAACACTAAAACACGAAAAATTAAACGCTTATAAAATATAAAACGCTAAAAATATAAAACGCATAAAACGCTAAAAGTAAAAACGCTATGATTAACTTAAAAATAATATAATAATTATTATGATTTATCGTTCCTTATTCTGGATTAAAATTTTATTCCTTATTCCATAAATTATCATTCCTTATTATATATTTTATTGTTCCAAAATTCAAAATTTTATTCGTGCATATTATTCATATATTTGATTTGATCAACTATTCCAAATTATATATTCCGATTTATTCCAAATTCCAATATTCGACTGGATTAATTATGAAATTTGAGAAATGTGATACAACTTGATTACCAAAATTATAAACCACTTGAACAACAAACTCTCTATGACTTCTCCGATGAAATTATCAGAAGAGGGAGAATGTTGCGTTATTCCTTTATCTTATTTTTTGTTTTTTGCATTTTAACTTTTATTATTTTTGTTATAATCTAATTTTATTTTATAAACGGCGTAACCTTACTTTTTTATATATTATTTTACTTTTTTGTATTTCGTTTTATATTCTAATTTATATGTTAGAAAATGTATAAATACCTTAACAAAAGAAAAAGAAATTAGTTAATAAAATATATTTTTACTGACTCGAACCCCGCGCAATATCGTCACCATCCATATTCTTTGCACATGTGAAAATATTTATGTTTTTATATAAATTTACAAAAACAAAAATGTTTACTTAGCCGTAAGCCGTATCCCTTTTCATTCAATATATGCCTTAATTTTATACTATTTATTTTAAACATTTTCTTTTTAAATCCCTTATTTTGGCATTTTAATTATATCCTTTTTGATATATATCATTTATTTTATTATAACAAATAAAATATCTCTAAATAAAATTTTCTGCTGCCAGCCAGATGGCAAATAAAGGAAGAAAAAAAAATTTAACACGGGGATTCGGAATTTTTAAATATTAAAAAAAATCCGAATAAAACGTGGGGAATCAAGATTTCGAATCCCGTTGGGAAACCAAATCCCACAGGATTCCTTGCCTAAATAATCAGGATGATGAAGCTATGATGGAGACAAAGTGATTATCACCCATCAGGTAAGAATATTTTTGATATTTTAATGATTCAGCTCTGAGAAGAGAGTCATGTACATTATTAGAAGGGGTGCAAGTAAACCCCAGACTAAGGTTTTACCAAATACAGAGGGGACTATAGTTTTCCCGTTAGGGGTTTTTTATCTATGTTGAACATGGGTGGTTCAAGAATGCACGGCAGATTTGACTTATTGAGAAATATTGCAATATGTGTGTTAATTTTGTTGTGACGATAATTTTAGATAGGAATTTACAATGAAGCGCATGGCGTCCAAAACAGTCTGAAACCTGATTACATTTGTTACAAGTGTATTAGTTTAAAAAGTATGCTCAGGCGCAAATTGATAGCATAACGAAATGAGTGGTTATCTATTAGTTGATTGTTTAAAATACTGGGGTAGGAATTAAACCATTCATGGCCCGAATTGTTGTTTCACAAATGTTTAATTATTCGATAACATGTATAATTTAAATAATAGGCAATAAAAATAATTTTTAAATATAATTTTAAATGGATTATTTTTATGAAGTTGAAACATTATTTTCAAGCCATTTATACTAGAGGTTTGCAATAAACGGGTGTGGGAGGGCGAAAAAATTAAACAAGGGCGTGGGTGGAATGGTTATTATTTTTAAAACAATGATCAAGCGGATCGGATGAATTGAATATTTTTCAAACAGAATAAGCTTATATTTATAAAAAATTAATTTGGGTATATGGCTCATTTGTTATCAAAACAAATTCCAGAAAAAATGAAGTTTCAGAAGAAGGATTATTATAATATTTTTTGAAATTTAAGTCTACCATAAAACTAATAAAAAGGAAAAAATAAACTTTTATAAAATGAGAAATTAAAGGATTTGGAATGCAAAAAACCTCTATCTTCCTTAATACTAGAAAATTAGTCTTCAAAGGGTGACGGGTCATAAATAATTGAATCATTACTTCCATACTCTAAAAATAATTTTTAAAATATTTTATTTTAATTCACGTCATTATATTTTAATTTTCTTGTAGCAACGAGTTGAAGAGATCATGGACCACAATTACTATGTGAGAGTGTGATTAACTGGGTTTAAAATTTATAACGGTTACGGTTGGCTAGCCTACCTTCCGAATTGTCATTGTTTCCCTCCAAAATAGAGTGATGATTATTAAACAATGCTCAAATTTTATTAAAATAAAAGTTAAATAACCTTTAATAACTAAAAACAACCAAATTTTATATAACCTTTTTTAAATATATTATACATTTGCTAACTGAAAAAATATTGCAATATTTTTCTTCCAATAATAATAAACTTCGGTATTGTAAACAAAAGGATTAAACATTGTTTAATTCATTAAATATAATAAATTAAATTATTGGATATGTACTTGAGAAAATGTTTTGAAACTTACAATGGGTTTTAGGATTTTTCATTATATAAATATGAGCCTGATAATATTATCCCTGGTCTCCCCCATTAAAAATTTTAAACTATAATTGCAAAACATATAAGAATCATAAAGCCTGATATCCTTGCCCACCTCTTTAACCCTGTTCAAAACGCTTTAAATGTTAAAAGATAGGAGCTAAAATTCCCACTTTTAACATATATAGGGATTTAGAGGGAGTTTTTAAGAAGTGGACCTGACTTAATACAACTTTGTTTTATTCTAAAAAATTTATGAAAGAATATATTTATATTTTTTGAAATGCCAATATTTTTGTATATCAATTTCACCTATAATTATTATATTGCATTGAGATTCGAAAATTTTATTTAATGTTTATTCGATAATATAAACTAATTTAGGAAAAGATCAAATCAGAGTCTGGTCTTAACTCTTTCTGGTGGGAGGATTATTTTTTCAGTTATAGTTTAAAGTTTTATTGGATATTACTTCCATCAATCATATTAGTGTCGTAGATTTATATTATTATATATGGATTTTTATTTTTATATGATCGTTGATAATAGGTAATTTTTGTAATATATTTTAAAAATTGGAAAAATAAAAAATTAAGTATTTTACGATATTAAAATTTTTAATTTTAATTAAAGAATTTCTCTATTACATAGGCCGATATAAACCGCTACAATATCCAACAATTTTATTTTACTCCTTCTTAAAAGTTTGTCCATTATATCCTTAAAAGATATATGGAGGCAAATTTGCACATAAACGTTAAAAAAAGATAAACATAAATTATTTTTATAAGTTTCTTTATTTCTAAAAAAATAACTTTCCTAAACTTTTTAAAACATATTATACTTCATAACATATTTAGATTCATTAGACCTCCATAATTATATATTATTTATCCATATTAGTCCTAGTTTATTTTTTGTAACTTATAGTTTCCAATTTGTTGCTATATATGAAAAGCACGATGTATTTGTAAAAGGAGTAAAATGAAAGATATAAAACTGAGCCAATCATAATTATCGGAAGAAAGATTAGAATTACTTTGCAATTGAGATAAGAAGCAGAGTTGTACATTTGCTCAAAATAAAAATTTGAAGATCGTAAAATTTGAAGATCTTTTATTTTTTAAAAATTTTGTGTAACGATCTTCAAAGATCTTCATGATATTTATTTTTTTACCCCTTTTTTAAAAGCCCAGATGTTTTTCAATTTTATTAATATAATATTTCTTTTATGTTTTATACCTCTCCTCCTGCCTTGATGAAAATTGAAAAACATCTGGGCTTTTAATAAAGGGGTAAAAAAATAAATATCATGAAGATCTTTGAAGATCGTTGATCGCAGCGATCTTCAAAGATAAAATTTTTAAAAAATAAAAGATCTTCAAATTTTACGATCTTCAAAGATCTTGCTCAAATTTTTGAGCTAGATCTCGCTCAAAAATCTTCAAAGAAGATCTTTTGTACAACTCTGATAAGAAGTTTAACGCCAATCACTTTATCTTCTTTACAGCTGAAAGTATTTGATCAAAAGTATATGCATAATATTTATCATATGTTTAATTAGAAGTGGGGTCCATGTTAAAAAGATGTTGACCAAAAACTATTTTTGGCCCTCTTTTCAACACAAGACATTTTTGGGTATTTTTTGATTTGAGGAAAAAGTATTTTTTCAAAATTTATTAAAATTAGGTGATATATTTTCTCCTGATTAAACTCGGAGTTTAGCATCCCTAAAAGAATCTCTGCGGAAATTTATGTTTCATTACTAATCCCAAGCTATATATGACCATAAGTGGGAAATAAATTAAATTTCAAAATATTCAAGATAATTCTATACTGAAATTACATTAATGAAGGATTATGGGCAACAATAATCCTAGTATAAATACAGAGAAAATGTTAGCCAAAATAGAATATTAGACATCTAAAATAGCCAATAAAGATAATTAATCACTAATCAAATATGATAATATATGAATATAATAACCTTTTCTTTCGCTAGAAATATTAAACTTTAATTTTAATATTCCTCTTTATATACTTTATATATTATTATACCCCTATCCGATAAACTAAAAGCCCATAATAACCGAACTAATAAGTTTAGGTTCTAGGAGTTGTTTTGTTAGTATGTGGAATTAATAGTTTAGGAAATAAGGGTTGGTTATAGCTGATAGTGAGAGTTTAAAGATAAAATTGAATATTTGATATGTTTGAAATTTGTAAGTTTTTGTATGAGGGAGTTTGTAGAGTATAATTTATGAATGAAAAAATGTTTTTCTACTTTTTAAAATGCTGGAGAAAGTTATAAAATTTTTAATTCATTATTTGTATAAAAAACTTTATTATTCAAAACGATATGTCACGTCAAATTTCAAGTTATTTTATTTTCTAATAAGTCTAGTTAAGAGCATGTAATTAAAAAAATTTATCTTTTAAAAATAAATAAAATAGTTTAAAAAAATGTTAGAAAATTCACCTTTAACTGGGTATGATGCTGCAGTTATTGTTATATACTTTATTCTAATTCTTGGTATAGGATTTTATGTAAAAAAATTAATAGTCTCATTTTTACTTTTTCAGTCTTTTTTTATAGCAAATCGTTCAACTATCTCAGGTTATTTTTTAGCTGGAAGATATATGATATGGCTTACGGTATGTTAAATTTTTTTTCATCACAATGATTATTGTATTTAATTTTTCAATATAATAATACTTTTTAAAAAATTAGGACATTTTTTAAATATAGATTCAAATTACTCTTGTTTTACATCAAATTGTTATTACTAATTAAATAGTCAGTAAATAGATGTAGCCAGGGAAGGCCCTTCTTAGAAATTTGCCAATTTTTTTAAATGTCATCTTAAACTAATAACCCCCATTCTCTACATGCCCACACCCTCTTTCCCTCTCAAAATTTATATAATATATCAAATGATGATAGAAAAATAAGGAAATTAATTATTTTTTTAAATAATAATAGTTCAAATTTAACTGTTTAAAAGCAACCAGAGGCCTGCAATAGGTCATCCTATAGATTTTTATGACAGTAGAGTGGCCTATTTTTGAAAAATAGATTTAAAATGGCTTGTAATTCAAAAAAGCAATAGGCAAGTCAAATATATTGAATATCACTTGATAACAATACAGATATTCTAGTTTTTCATAAAACGATATTCAATTTTTGGTGAATAATGAACTTTTTATAAATTTTTAATTTTTTCATACCTCTACATGAAAATGTTAATTTATTATCTTAATTTTGCCTTTATTTAATTTATATATAATAAATTAACTAAAATTTACAGATTATTTTATAACAAAATAAATCAGATATTTTTTAAATAAGTGTCAAAAAACATGTTCTGCAATGAAAATATGGTAATAGGTCTTGAATAATCAGCTTGTGTAAATGAGGAGTAGAAGGGGCAACAAAAACTATGTGGGGCAGCCAAATTTTTGTTTCTATGTGTTGATTTTGCTTTCCTTTTTTTATTATTTGGATTTTTTTTGATAATTTTGCTAGTAATTATGAGCTTAACTCAATCTGAAACAGACTCCTCAAATGCCCTTAAAAAACTATTGGTATGGGAAGGCAAACTGCTGGTTCTAGAATTAATAACCAATGAATTGTATCATTCAATATAAATGCACAGGAAATAAAAAAATGTAAAGTAGTATTTTTTATTGACTTATTAACTTAATAGAAAAATAATGTGAGAGACAAGGGGTCCATACTAACCCAAAATTAAATATGCACTATCATTTTAATTGCAAAACTATTTGGGGTATTTAAATGAGTCCTTCAATTTTCTCACTTAACATGTCCTTGCAGATTTGAGAAATCCAAGTTAGTTGTGACCTGCCTCTAGTTCATTAGTTTATCACTCCGAGATCGAGAACTTGTCAGTTTACATTACTTAAGTCACTACTTAGCACATGTCCATACTATTTCAGTCTGCTCTCATTTATATTTTCCACAAAGCTAGAGTAATTTTTTTAAAGAAATTATGATGTGTGTCATGAAAATTAGAATAGCGTAATGGCTCGATTTAACCAATTTTAAATTGAGATTCTTTAGCCAAAATAATATTAGGCACGCCTCGAGATTTCTGTTAATAAATGTCTAAACCTTTTTTTGCCATCTATGAGAAAAATTTCCAGGTTTGCTTAATATTTTTTGGCTAAAATATTTATGGTGAACCGTTTTTTAAAAAACCAGCCGTTTATAATAACACTAAATTATATATATGAGCATTAAATAAATATTAACGGTCTATTATATAGGTTCCTTATATTTTGAACTGATGGCGCGGGCCTGATTTATGATTTTTCAAGCCCAGTTCAGATTTTAAAATTTTAAAGCCCAGTTTAGATTTTAAAATTTTTAAGCCCAGTTCGAATTATAGTAATACTAATTTCTCCAATTTTAATGAAACTCCCAATCTTCGTTGAGAATTCAAAGACTAAAAAAATTACACAAATATTGAAATAAAGAAAAAAATAGATATAATTACTAAAATGTTATCAAAACCTGAAAAACAAATGAAAATCAAAGACATCGCTAAAAAAAAACTTAAACACAAACTAAGAGAAAAACAAAAACAACTCAACAAATTCCCGAAACTACAAAAATCACCACGCAGACAAGAAATATAACTCGCGAAGAATGATTTTCTTTATTAATAATTCCCGAAATAAAAAACAATTTTATCACCATAAAAATCCGTAATTTTTTATATAAAAAGAAATTAATTTCATGAAAAAAAAATAATAATAATAAATTTTACATATATGTATTACATCTAATCTAGGTTGATTGGCATTCCGCGTTAAAAAAAATAAATAAAACATTCACGTATTTACAAATACGACATGCCACCCCTTTATGGGATCGTGGCATATCGTCAGATATAAAACAAAAAAAAATATCTAAAAAAACTTACAACATCATTTCAAGAATATTTTTACACATGATTTTCTTAAATCGACATTGGGTTAACCCATAAATCTTCAGCGCCTGCCGTCTGTGGAACACCAGCTGTTAGCGTACTGGTCACCACTCTTTGCAAAATATCCTCTCCACTTATACCTCGGGATCCATTCCAGAGTTGACCACGAGCATCAAAATGACGAGTATTGATAGAATGTCTCTCCCTATCCCTATCCGACCCTGAGGGAACTGAGTCCGTTGGTTGTCTCCCTTCTAAATCGTGATGCACGCGCTGTCGTCCTTCATAGATTTCCACTCTTGGGTTTTCAGATATTACTTCCAAAGGTACGCGAGTCTCCCGAGATGGCCGGGAACACTGATGCCGCAAGTGTCCCACCTCCTGACAATTGAAACACTTTTTCCGTCTACTCTCATACGTCGGTGGTTGATTCTCCTTCCGGCGTCCTTCTCCCAGGGTCATACCATCGTGCTTCTTGATTAATGTGACCTGGAGATAAAAATCTCCAAGGTCTACTAAACGTGAGACTGTTTCCATTTCTCGAAGGTGATAAAATATTTGTGGATAACTGGTTCAAGGCTATACGTGGACCTTTTCTTTATTTTGATTTTCAGAAATTAGTAGTACTGACTTAAAAAAAAACTTTATAACAACAAAACTTCAATTTAATAAAAAAAAATATAATTTACCGGTTCAAGAATATGCGTTGACCTTTTCTTTATTTTAGTTTACAGAAAATGGTAATAATGATTTCTTGTTACAAAAAAAATTGACTTTATAACAACAAAAACTTCAATTTAATAAAAGAAGTATAATTTAATATTTCGGAAAATTTAATTGAAAAAAAAATAATTTTATAATTAAAAAAAAATCTTTTACAAAAAAAAAATTTAAATTAACTAAACACTTTTGTTATTTAATTTTCCTTTTTAAAAAAAAAATCACTTCATACACAAAAACAAAATCAATCCATGATTGCGTTCCAAAACACAAACACGTTTTAAACTTTTCCTATTTCCTTTTACGGTATTCCACACATACACAGACCATTAAATTATAAACAAGAGAAAAGGGGGGGAAAGGGAAAAAAAAACTCAAACAAGAACTTTTAATTAATTATATTTTTTTTTACTTAAAAAAAATATTTTCCCAGTACCAATACCAATGTTCAACAACCATGATTTATCCTATAAGGCTATGAACAAAAATGTATTCACAAAATGAATTACAACTTTTCTATTCCTTTTATTTTTTACACTTTTATTCATTTACAATACATATATTACCACAATTTCAATCTTTTCCCTTGTTTATTACCGACAGCCGGAACATTAAACCAGTTTAACTTAACATTACATATACATACATATACTTCAATTTCCCGTAGTATTACCGAGATAACCTCCTCATTCAATTTCACTTTTTTACATAACATCTATCAATAAATTCTAATACCATCATATAATAATACATAAACTTAAACAAAAAAGGTTACCGACCGTTCACGTACATTTTACTCCTTCCTGCTTTAACTTTGCATAAATATATATATTTACCACTTTAAGATGAGCCCCTCTCCTATTTGATCCGTTAACTTCCCATTCCCACATACAATATGTTACCCAACCCTTCATTTACACATTATATATTTGCTCGGAAACGAGTCTAATCCTTCGGGATGCACCTTCATTTTATTTATACATATATTTTCATATTTATATAATCATATGAGGTACCTCAGATTTACTTCCGCGGTCTTATATGATCATTGTGGCGCATCACTGTGCCGCCCATTTCTAATTGAATCAAATTCAACTTTGAACCTCTGTTTACCCCAACAATGCCCCTGACCCATTTCTTGCCTTTCCCGTCAAACAAACGAGTCCATACTTTTTCTCCAACTTCAAACCTAATCTTTCGGTCCTCCAAAACTCCCTTCTCGTGACTCTCGGCCCTTAGAAAATCTAGGGGAACCCTAGTCCTCCGACCCAAAAACAATTCAGCAGGTGTCACTCCCTCCTTATTCCTAGAATTGAGGTAATACAACTTGGCCAAATACACCCCATTCCCCTGATTGCCGGCCTTTCTTATCCAATTCTTAACAATTGCTACCATCCTCTCAGCTTGACCATTTGAGCTGGGATGATAGGGCGGAGTCAAAATGTGTCGAATCCTAGACTCTTTACAAAACTGCTGAAATTTTCGCTAACAAAGGCAGGTCCTCCATCAGATACAATGGTATCCGGCAATCCAAACCTGGCCATTAATGCCCTCAATTTCCTTACCACAATTTTCGTGGTATATCCATGTACCTCCTCGTACTCTATCCATTTCGAATACGAATTCACTACTAAAAAATACGACCTTTTGTCTAAATCGAAAAAATCAACATGTAAGCGTTCCCACGGTTTTCTTGACCTAGGCCATATCTGACCCACCTCCTTTCGGGGCATCGCTGCACACGAATTACACGGTTCACATGTCCTTGTAATATTTTCAATATCTTTTCCCATACCCGGCCACCAAACATATTCACGGGCCCACGATTTCATCTTCCCTTGACCTTGATGTCCAGCATGTAACAAATTTAAAATTTTACCCCTTAATTTGAACGGAATTACAGCACGATTACCCCTCATTAAACAATCATCTATCACAGACAATTCCTCCTTAACCTTTTTAAAAACTTTACAATCCTCCTCC